AAAAAAAAAAGAAGCTATTAAGAGGATAAGGCCCTTGGTAGTTGGTGCATAAAACCTTTAATGTAACTGCCTGTGAAAAAAGGCTCCAACTTGATTGTTAGCTTTTGCATTTATATCAAGTCTACTACTTGGTAATCAAAGAAAACTTGTAATTATAGATTTTGAAGTTGCATGATTGTTTCAAGGTATTTCTGATTTTTTCTTTTCTTGATTGGCACTTCTGGTGCTGTTTGATGTCAACTCTGGAATGCTGTCCTGCCTATCAGATTTTGAGTTGTTTTTTAATCCCTTTTAACCCTTAAAATACTTGAGTTGGGGATTGATGCATTTTGAATGTGAATTTGCTTAAGATTTCCCCCTAAACTGCAGGGATTCATCCGTAGTGAAGCTTTTGATCCCAAAAATTGGATGATTCCTGGTGACAATTCTGGTAGTTATATATTGAATGAGGAATCACTTTCTGATGGAAGAAGAATTTATATTACTGGAAAAAGAAAGTTAAAAAGCAAGAGGATTGCCGATGTTGTTGAGGCACTTATTGGTGCATATCTTAGCACCGGAGGTGAATCAGCTGGCTTGTTATTTTTGAACTGGATTGGTATAGATGTGAATTTTATAAATACCCCATATGAAAGGCATTTCCTAGTCCAGGCTGAGAGGCTTGTTAATGTTCGTTATTTTGAGACCCTATTGAACTACTCATTCCAAGACCCTTCTCTTCTACTGGAAGCACTGACCCATGGTTCCCACATGCTTCCCGAAACTCCAAGATGCTATCAGGTGAGTCTAGAGATAATTGTGCTAAAAGTTTACCCTGTTCCATGCTGTTTCTTAATGATTCTATTGTTGTGGTACTTTGTATCTTCTTAGGAGTTTCTGTGAGTTCAATCCTTTGTCAAGCTTGTATTGATGGGTGGTTCTTTTTCTTTTTGCTCTGTCCAGAGGCTTGAATTTCTTGGAGACTCGGTATTAGATTATCTGATCACCCTGCATTTATATGGTGAGTATCCTGGGATGTCACCAGGATTGTTAACTGATATGAGGTCTGCTTCTGTGAATAATGATTGTTACGCGCATGCTGCTATCAAGGTTGGATTGCATAAGCACATTCTCCACGCTTCTCATGACCTTCACAAGCATATTGTTGAAACAGTTGTAAAGTTCACAGAATCATCTCAAGAATGTACTTTTGGATGGGAATCCGAGACATCATTCCCCAAGGTCTGTTGCTATATTCACAAATCACAACAGCATTTGGACATCCCAAGATCTATCATATTATGCAAACTGTGTTACATCAGTTGTTTAACAAAAGATTTCAATAAATTTGTTTCAGGTGCTTGGAGATGTGATTGAGTCACTTGCGGGGGCAATACTTGTGGATTCAGGATTTAACAAGGAAATTGTCTTCCAGAGTATAAGACCACTTTTGGAGCCCTTGATTACTCCTGAGACAGTGAGGATTCAACCAGTAAGAGAGTTGACAGAATTATGCCAGAGGGAACATTTTGATGTAAGAAAGCCCTTCATATCACAACAGAATGGTATAGCTTCAATTACAGTGGAGGTTGAAGCCAATGGTAATACGTATTGTTGCACTCAATCTGCTGCGAATAGGAAGATGGCCAAGAAATTGGCTTATAAAGGTGTTTTGCAGGCCCTCAAGGAAAGCCTTTCCAGGACCTGAATGTTGTAACCAAACCTGGGAACATTTTGCATTTCGCCTTCCCTTATAGGAGAAAAGAGGATATAATAGTAATGTAAAAAGTGTTTTGCAGTTGAATTGAAAATGCAAAACACTGATTATTAAATGGAGGAGTCTCCTAATAATGGAGAGGCTCCCTTATCCAATGTATTGTGTTTTGCAGTTGAATGGTAAAACACAAATCATAACAATGATAAGCTTCATTTTTTTCCCTTTTTTTTTTCCTTCTATGATCCCTTTTGAATATATTTTGAGAATCAAAGGGGAAATAATTGTATTTATGTGATCTTGATTCTTCAATGAAATAAATTATTTTTGTGGAAAATTAAGAGTAAATTCTCTTTAAATGCTTTAACACGCAAGTTTATATTCCTCCATTGAGCTGTTATTCATTTATTCATACCGGTGCAGAATAGTTTAAAAGAAAAATAATCTTACACTTTTAATTAATGTTTTTCCATCTAATCTCTTTTTTTTTTTTATTTAAAGGTAATAATTAGTAAGTTAGTATTGTTAGATGTTAGCAACTGGAGATTTGATTCCCAAATTTGGTGAACAGTCCACCAACCTTAATGATGCACGCGACCATCAGATCGCTTGGTGGAGTTCATTTTTCCATCTAATTTAAATGTTGAAAAGAACATAAAATAACAGTTAATGGTTTTTTTTTTATAGTATTTTCAGTTAGGATGTCTATTAATATAGCCTTCTAGTATTAGTTTAGTGTATTTAAAAAAATTAATTTTTTAAGTATCGAAACCAAAACATGAATCTTAGACTTACCTTATAAATTGTAAGATTATACTTATTTATTAATAAATGTAACTTTTAAAGTTAAATTAGTGTTAATGAATAATTCAAGAGAATAAAAAAACTTGTAAAATAAATATTTAAGTTTCAGCTGATAGTATATATATTTTTTGTGAGTATAAATTCCATTAATCCATAAATAAGCATTGTAAGTTTACTGTAGAATTCAATTATTAAGATCTTGCTCGGCTGTGTTGTAGTGATATCTATATTTTTAATATTTTTAATTATTTTATTATTTAAAAATATATAAAATATTAATTAAAATTAATAAAATTATATAAAAAAATTAAAAATAATAAAATTACAATTTTATACAAGATGTTATCTGAAAAAAATATGAAAGAATCGTTGTCAAGTTAATAATTAGATAAAAAGTCAAATTAATAAGATGAAGTGAAACTAACATGAGACCAAACCAGAATCGTGATCGGATACAGCGGAATGAGACCAATCCGAACCATCGTACCGGCTATCCCTTGGATAAAAATTAATTAAAAAAATAAAGGAAAAGGAGAGAAAATGAAAAGAGAGAAAGGAGAGGAAAAAATTAATATTTTATTTGAATAAATTAAAAAAAGAAGAAGAGAGATTGTGTTTTTTATTTAACAAAATAAATTAAAAAGTAATTATAAAATTAAATTTATAAAATTTTAATTATATTTAAAAAAAATAAAAAATGAAATAGAAATAAACCTAATCCTCTTTATTATAAAAAATAAAAAATAATTAAGAACAGAAGATTTGAAGTGAGTCTACTTCTCTCCCCATCCACCTCCCTCTTATTCCCCATCTGCTAAAGATGTTATCCATACAATATAAAGGACATACATCTCCTTCACACTCTTCTCCTCGCCCCTCAACTCCCTCAATCCACAGAGCGGCTAAAATTTTCTCCCGTCGCTTTAGATAATACACAAGATTGAGCTTCCAAAGCCATAAACATGGAAGGCATTGTGCGGCCGCTCTTCAGCTCAACGACTCTATTACCACCCAGACCATCTCCTTTTTGTAATTACATTATCTATAATAAACTCCCACTTTTTCTCTCCCAAACTCCAACCCTCTCTACAACTCTATTTGTCCGTTCTCACTTCCATTCTTCTGGTATGTCAATTCCACCCATGGTTTTTTTTGTTAAATTTGCTTGAATAATGTCTCTTTGGATTCCATTATCATGAACTTTGATGGG